CAGGCTTTCTCTAGTTGTGGCGAGCAGGGGCTATTCTTCGTTGTGGTGTGTGGGCTTCTCATTGCGGTGGCTTCTCTTGTTGCAGAGCATGGGCTCTAGGTGCTCGGGCTTCAGTAGTTGCTGTGGCACGCAGGCTCAGTAGCTGTGGCTCACGGGCTACGTTGCTCTGCAGCATGTGGGATCTTCCCGGACCAGGGCTCGAACCCGTGTCCCCTGCATTGGCAGGCGGATTCTTAACCACTGCCCCACCAGGGAAGCCCCCAAATTCTCTTAATGGAAAATTCCCTGGAAGACTGTAAAAGGCACCTGGAACAGTTCTTTGCTCAAAAAAGATAAAAAGTTTTGGGAAGATAGAATTATGAAGTTGCCTGAAAAATGACAGAAGGTAGTAGAACAAAACAGTGAATACATTGTTCAATAAAGTTCTTGGTGAAAATGAAAAATGTGTCTTTTATTTTTACTTAAAAACCGAAGGAACTTTTCCCCAATATTTTTAGGAATTCCCTGGCAGTCCAGTGGTTAGGACTCGGTGCTTTCACTGCCTTGGCCGGGATTCAGTTCCTGGTCAGGGAACTAAGATCCCACAAGCCATGCAGTGCAGCCAAAAAAAAAAAAGCAAGAAAGAAATCTATTTTCTTCATAAAACAATTACTAAAATATTAATCACATTGATATGCATTGCACATCAATTCTGCTTTAGAAGTAGAAAACCTACTACAAAAAAGTTTTTAATTAATTTCTTATTCCATGTTCATTGTAGAAAAACTAGACTATACAGATAGGAAAACTGAAGATATAATCTTATGGCCCAGAAAAAAACACTATATTTTAAATTATATCCTTTAGCTTTTTCTATACATCTGTATATAGATATATAAAACTGTATGCTTTGATAAATAGGTATTTTAAATGGGATAACAGCATATATGCTGTTTTGTAGCATTTTCCCACTTAACACACAGTACAAATCATTTGTAGACCATTAAACTTTATTTTTACAACTTAAATTTTTTTACTACATAGTTTCCAAAATATGGGTTTACCATATTTACTTAATCTCTTATTGTTCTTAAATTCTTTTAAGTAACTGCAAAAAAAAAGAAGAGAAAGGTTGCTGAATGCTCCCTCATATTTCTCATAAATGGCAGTGCTTTTGGACTAGTTTAAAAAGATTTCTGTACCTGTGAAATGTTTCTATCTTTATAGCTACAGCTTTGACTATATGTATAATTACTTAAAATAAATTCATCCAGAGGGATTTCTGGGTCAAAGAATAAATGCTTCTACAGCTTCTGATGGATATTGCCAAACTGCCCTCAAAAAAGTTGTTAAAATTTACATTTTCTCCAGCAGTGTATACTTCTCAATATCTCTACCTGTACTGGGATTACCATTTTTAAAAAATCTTTGCTTGCACAGCATTTTGAAATGTCTTCAGAACCTCCCCCAAACTCCCTCCTTTTGTTCTTCTAGTCTCCTGCTGCCCGATCTTCATCTAAACCTCTCTCCACTGTCCTTTCCAGATCTATTTTTGTTTGTGCTTTTCCACTGCTCAAGTCTTACAATGGCTTTGCTATAACACTGAAAGTTGCCTAGCTAGTATTTTATCCCCTTAGCCTCTTAGAGCCAAAGTATCAACCAACAAATCTGATAAACTAATCCATGCTAATGTTAAGGGGCTCATTTCCAGCCACATGTGTGAAATATAACTCGAGCAGTTTAACAAAAATATATTATCTACATCAGCAATGCATTTATTTAACTTACAGGGCAGTGGTTCTCAATTTTGCTGCACATTGAAATCACCTTGGGAACTGTTAAAAACGCTGCTGCCTGGGACTCATCTCCCAAAGATTCTGAATAAATTTGGTATACTGTGTGACTTGGGCTTTAGAATTTTTGAAGCCTCCCTAGGTGACTCTAATGTAGCATCTGTGTTTGAGATGACTTAAGAAAGATCCTAAGTAGTTTCTTCTTACGTAATACTGGAGGATGCCAAGGAAGAAAAAGTACAATCTCAATAATCTGACTCATCTGCAGAAGATAAAGGAGATTAGAAGGGGCAGCTAGGGGTGAATCATTTGCCAATGACAACAGGATAAGAGTAGCATTCACTTTCTTGGCCGCGTGGCATCTTAGTTCCCAGACCAGGGACTGAACCCGCACCCCCTGCAGTGGAAGGGCAGAGTCTTAACCACTGGACCACCAGGGAAGTCCTGAGCAGTCACATTTCTTGATGCTAGGCAGGTGCCTGCTGTGTTAGGAAGTAGGCCAAGACTTATCTTTGAAGTATTGATAGCCTTTGTAGTTAAGCTAATCAACTCAAACTAAAATGATTTGGGTAACAAATGTTATGCCATGCAATTTAGTGACAGCATTCCAGGTTTCATTCCAGGAGGTCAAACTACTTCCAGTTTGCATTTGCTTTATTGTTTCAACAAAGTTGGGCGGTACCACAGATTTTCCCCACAACCCGTAGTGGCCCTTTGGGACAACTCTTAGAAGAATAACTACAACCAGTTCTAGCCATTTAACTACATTATAGTACTCTTACAAAGTAGCTATTAGCCCTATTTTACAAGGAAAGCTGAGGATCAGAGAAAGTTAGTAAATGGGCTGGCCTCAGAGCCAGCAAGTGGCCTGGCTGAGGTGGGATTCAGGGAAGCAGGACTCTTAACTTTAACAGTCATATTCTCTTTACTACCAAGTGTCAAGCCATGTTTCCTTTTCCCCAGGACAATTTGAAGTGACATTGGTAAATTGCTTTCCTGGGTAGAATATGCTTCCTTGTCGTCTGAATGATCTTTCTGATATTTTACAATTCAGAAGACAAGTGATGAGAGCCACTTCTGTGCTAACCCACCTCCGGCCACAGTGTCAAGTAAGGACACTCTGTTACCTTATCTATCTCTGTGACCTGGCATTACAAACATTATCATTCCCAAACACCAGCTGAGAGCATACTCTGCAGAGGACTGTAAGATCCAAAGGCCTTAATGGGTTGGCTGCTTCGTTGGGGAAGAAAAGCTTTTTTCCAAACCTGGCTTTTCCCAAATTACTTATGATAGGGAAGATTTCCTTGGTGACCAGAAAAGGAAGAATAATTTCTGTGGCCACCATAGTAGTTTGACTCTTTTTTTTGTTTTCTGTTTTTCTTATTATTATTAGTCATTATTCTTTTTATTGTAGAGGGTCATTTAAGCCACCCAGGTAAATACCATTGTACCCGAGAATCTTTAAAGGGTTTTACTCCCCAGCTACATAATTTCTGGAGGAAGAGAGTGATTGTAGGGCTTCCTGTACAAAAATTGCCTTTCTTGGAGCCAATGCTAGAGAAGGGAATGGTAATTCTTTCACCACGTCAACACTGTAGTAAGCAGGAGGGAAGGAAGAGGCTTTATAGCCTCAATGGATCATACCTAAGAGACAATAGGGGACTTAAGGGTGGAGAACGATGCTGGATTCAAGAAAAGCAAAGTCCTAGGAATGTGCTACAATACCCTAGTTAAGGGACTTCTTTTTTTTTGCGGTACACGGCCCTCTCACTGTTGTGGCCTCTCCCGTTGCGGAGCACAGGCTCCACGCACAGGCCTACAATACCCTAGTTAAGGGACTTCTTTTTTTTTGCGGTACACGGGCCTCTCACTGTTGTGGCCTCTCCCGTTGCGGAGCACAGGCTCCGGACGCACAGGCTCAGCGGCCATGGCTCACGGGCCCAGCTGCTCCGCGGCACGTGGGATCTTCCCGGACCGGGGCACGAACCCACATCCCCTGCATCATCAGGCGGACTCTCAACCACTGCGCCACCAGGGAAGCCCAAGGGACTTTTTGATAGGACAAAACTTCAGAGACTATGTAATCCTACACACAATTAGAACGGACAGGGAAAAGGAACATCGACCCTCTAGGAAAATCATGGTGTTTTTTTTTTTTTTTTTCCTCTCTAGTTGTCATTCCTGAAAGGAGTTTACCAAAATAGCCCGAGATTAAAGCTCAAGGTTGGGGGAAGGGAGGAGACTGGGTTTTGGAGAAGGGTTAGGAGTTTAGATAGAGCAGGATGCTTAGAAATACTGTTCAGTCATAGGGCTCAGCCTTGACGACAGATTGTAGCTTAGATTTTAGATTGTCTGGCACTGAAAATAATGCCTCTTACATAGAATAAACCAGAAAGTTACATTTTCCTGTCTACGGGGTTAAAGAAATACACACCCGTGACACAGTAGAGAGAACTGTCACCCTGCCAGGGTAAGCCAGGCTATCCTGGCTCAGGCAAAGTTTATCTCCGCGACAGTTAAAGACAAACTAAATTCTGCAGGGCAGGCCAGAAAGAAATGCATCATGCAAACACCGGCTGCCACTGCCTCTCCAGCCAGCCAGGTCTCCTGGCCTCTTTTCTTGGGCTGAGCTGATGAGTGCCACGCATGAAATGCGAGATCTGTGCTGTTCCCCAAGTACTTGGAGGAGCCCAGCCTGCTGCCCCCGGGTATGGGGGGCGGGGGGCTCCACTGTCGGGAACATTGGGAGGTCACCCGCGCCCGAGTCTGCTTTTAAGGTGGCTGCACTCCCAGGAACCAGAACCCGTTTTTCCCAGAGCCTTCCTAAAACATTTAACTCACTCTCTGCCGCCCTCTATAGGAGAACAAAAATGGAGGAGGGGTGGTTTATAAAAGGCTGGAAGATCCGTTTCTGGCGCTGCAAACCAAGAAAGAGGGGCACATTTAGGAAAGACGAAGGATTAAACTGTCGTCAAAATCTATTCCAGAACTTCACCTTCTCCATTACCAACACAGACTAAGAGACACACATAGACCTAACCCTCTGCTAGCAAAGAGGCGAATGCGACACCCTGAAAATGTCAGCCTGAACCACCTTAAAAAGCGATCGCATCATTGCGTTAGAAAAATTTGTTTTCTCGTGGGACAAGATCCGGAAATTCTGTTTCCCCCTTTAAACACTGCTTAAGAGAAGGGAGAGAGAATCAGAGCTGGGCTACGTCTCACCACTTGCTGTGCGCTCCGGAAAGTGGCGTCCAGCAGCATCAGCTTCCAGGGGTCGGACACGGAGCTTGGCAGGGGGATGTAGATGTAATAGGCGGCCAGCGCCACCAGGGTGGTAAGCAGGACACACGACGACCTCATCCTCCCCCGATCGGCTGGCCTGCCGGGTTGACGAGGAGGAAAGGGCAATGCCACCAAAGACCTCAAGCAAGTTTCTGCAAGGGCCAGCAGCTCATTCACCGGTTTCTTACATGTCCAGGAGCCAATCAGAGGCGGCGTCAGGAGGAAGTCGGAGCGCTGACGTGCCCCCTCCACTGTGTCCTTGCAAAGTGCTGCAGACACTTCAGGTTTGAGAAAGCTCTGGGGCTGTGCTGGGCGCAGAACAGCGCACTCCGGAGGACACAGGTGTGTATTGCACCCTTGTGACCAAGGGCTCCCTCCTGAAGGTTCCCAAACGGAAACACGCCCGGAATAGTTTCGGTGTGATGAGTTTCTGTCTGTCCAAACTACGTGGGCCAGTCTGACTCAAAATGGAGTCCGATGTGAGAACGATAATAAAATGATAATGATAAAAATCCACTGTCTTCAGCCAGATTTGCAATGGAATGTAAATTCTAGCTGTTATGTGGTGAGAGAAGGTAACAAATTCTTATAGCTCAAGCAATGCTAAGCCAGTAGTACACCTAGCACCCAAATCTTGGTTTCCAGATCTCATTCTCCAATAAAAGGAACCATGACTCTTTGCCATGGCACCGTGGAGAAAAGCCTGATTATAGGGCAGGATGAACCTGTTGTTCTGTAAGATAAGGAAGTGCTATAAAATGATGAGAACTGGTCAAAAGGACACAGGTGGCAGCTTGAAGGGTCTCCCATGGCTAAAGCTGGGATAATTTTAGCATCAAAATAAATAATAATGGATTACAAACCATTGAATAAAATAAATATCTAGGAGTCTATACTAATATAAATAAATAGGGAAACACCACGTGAAAAAAATTCTTTCAAGTGGGTCGGTGGTAGCAGAAAAAGCATTTGAATCCAGATTTCCTATTAAAGATGGGGGTAGGGGATATAGAATGAGAGAGATAAAGAGAGAGAGAGAGAGAGAGAGAGAGAGAGAGAGAGAGGGAAACTTCACCAGCAGAATTACAACCAGAGATCCAGAAGAAAAAAATTGGAAGAACTGTTTTAAGGAGGTGGTTAGAGAATAACTCCAAACTTATTGATCGAGGCCTTAAAACACCTGGTACATATACTTTTGCAACTTACTATAGTAATTTAAATTTAACCTAATCCAAAGTAATGAAATAATCATAAATTTGGGACTGAAAATGAGATTCTTGGGGGAAAGTTGGCTTCCTATTCAAAGTTTGGAATAAAACATTTATATGAAGGGTACACTTCAATGATGCTTCAAGCATTCAAGTTTGAGATCATTTTATCTTTCTTTGCAGTTACTAGTTAAGCTTATAAGTCTAAACAGAAAGAGATATATAAGTTTGTGAGTGAATGTATGTGCATAAAGTTAGAAGCTAATCTCTACGGGTGATTACAAACAATCCCAGAGCTACCAACCGAATTGACAACTGGATTGATTCACGTAATTTTCTTTCAGGTAATCTGTAAAATAATTCAAAGTTTTACCTTGTAGACTTTAATATTTTCTTCCTGGATTTTGATTATATTCATAAAATCATAGATCTTAGAGCTGATGACAAGACAAACAAACAACAACAACCCCACACCTGACCCATCCTACCATCTTCAGGCAGTAGTTACAAGCTTGGTTTATAGGTGAGTCTTTTGAGGCCCAGAGCATCTTGTTCATAGTCTTCTAGTTTGTAAGTGATAGAACCAATATTCATTTCTCCTGCCTCTCAGTGCTCTGTAGCTTCCCTTCAGCAGTGCATTAAGAGATAGAAACAAAGAAAAAACAAAGAAACCACTATGATTCTCAGTGCTTCTTCTGTAGATCTGAGAGTCTTTATAAAATGAAACCAACCTGAGATAAATTTAAACAGCTTCATCACTTGTTTCTAATACTTCATTCATTCCACAAATATACCTGGTCCACACTAGGAAATAAAGGAGTGGGGGCAAGGCAGTAAGGTCTCTGCTCTTTTTTTTTTTTTTTTTTTTTTTTTTTTTTTTTTTTCCTTGCGTTATGCGGGCCTCTCACTGTTGTGGCCTCTCCCATTTGCGGAGCACAGGCTCCGAACGCGCAGGCTCAGTGGCCATGGCTCACGGGCCCAGCCGCTCCGCGGCATGTGGGATCTTCCCGAAACGGGGCACGAACCCGCGTCTCCTGCATCGGCAGGCGGACTCTCAAGCACTGCGCCACCAGGGAAGCCCAGGTCTCTGCTCTTTTTGATTTTGCGTGCTTGGTAGTGATGATAGTTGTGGGGTGAGAGTAAGGAAAGTAGAGAAAGGAGAGCCAAACAATAGATAAATGATAACAATTAACAGGCATGGAACACTAACCACAAGCCAGGTTCCGTGGTTAACACTTTGAATGCATTAACTCACTTAGTCTTCACAACAATTCCTATGAAGTATGTGCTCTTCTTATTCTGAAGACAGAGGCACTGAAAGATGAAGTGCTTGCCCCAAGTCACCTAGGTAGTGGGAAGTATAGCTGGGATTTGAGCCCATGAAGTCTGGCCCTTGTGCTCATGTACTTTACTGCTCAACTCTGCTGCCAAGTGGTTAGGATTGGGAAGAAAATACAACAGGTTAGTGTGATACCTTGTGGCTGGTTGCTGCTTTAAACTGGGTGATGAAGGGGACTTCTTTAAGGAGATGCCATTTGAGCTGACAGCTGAATGACTAAGGAGACAGCCATGCAGAAATCTAGAGGGTGGGGAAGAAGTGCAGAGGCCCTGAGGTGTTACGAGGTCAGGGAACAGAGAGAGTGCTGGAGAGGTAGGGGTCATGTGCAAGGGGCGGTAGAGCAGGCACAGTCAGAGAGGTAGCACCGATGCAGAAGGGTGGAGCGTCTAGGACTGTGTGGGTCATTTTAAGGAGGTGGCATGGGAAGCCACTGAAGACTTTGCAGCAGGAGAGCAAGAGAATTTGATCTGTATTTGAAAAGAAGCACTCCAGCTGCAGTGTAGAGAACAGGAGGCTTTTTCAGTCATCCAGATCAGAGATGATGGTGGCCTGGATGGGCAGTGTTAACGGTGGGACAGAGAGAAGGGGTAGATTTAGAATACATTTTAGAGATAGGGGAGACAGGACATACTCACAGATTGTGAAGGGTGATAAAAGGGGAATAGTCAATAAAATGCTCTGCTTCTAAGGAAATAATGTGTGATTTGATGTTTAGGCAATTGACGTTTCTATTTATATAGAATATCTTCGTTTTTATTAAGCTCTCCTAATAATATGACCTAGTAATATCATTGCTTAACAGAATTTTTGCTTTTATTACTTGAAATAATTTACCCAAAATGCCATATACTACACCATGTGAAGTGGGCCTCTTCATCTAAGGACAAACAGAACTTTAGTTCAGCAAACACTTACTGAGTCCTGCTGTCTACAAAGCACTGTGGTAGGTGCTGTCGTGATAAAAATGGTCCCTTTCCCACAAAACAATGTCCACTCTAGTCAGAGAGAAAGTCAGATAAACTTTTTATTATTTGAAATATACAAATTCCAGAGCTATAGAGAGGAGGAAATCATGAGTAGATCTGTTCTAGAAGAGTGGGGAGTAAGAAGACCTACAAGAAAGGTGATGACTGAGCAGATCGGGCAGGTTGGCCAGGAGTGTGCAGGTGGATATTAGGTAAGATCATCCCAAGCAGAGAGGAGAGCACACACAGAAGTCCTGAAATGTGGAATGAGCTGCAAGCAGTTCAGGTACTTCTCGTGCATCAAATGCAGGGAGGTGGAGAGATTAACCTGAAGAGTTAGGCAGAGGTCACGCGATGCAGGGCCTGGTGGGTTGTGCCAAGGAGCCTGAACATTACCCCCTAGGCAGTGGGGAGGCACTGGATGGTTTATGTTACATAAATCTAGTGACAGTGGAGAGGGTGTGCGGTCGGGAGGAGAGCACGGGAAGCTGCTGGCAGTGTGTTGCTTCCAAGGTGTCCGAGAAAGATGATGCTATTGTAGTTCAGACTTGTATGAAGCGTTGGTCATGGGGTTGAAGAGTCCAAACAGATCTAACAGGTAGAATCAAAAGGACTTGGAGAGGGAGGGAAAAGGTGATTTCCCAGATTTCTTGTTGAAGCAACTGGATACAGAATGTTGGAAGAGTAAAGACTTGAGGGAAAATGACAAATGCACTGGGGAGTATTTGGGTTTAAGGTTTCCATGGAACATCCAAGAAGAGCTATTGAGTAGACTCCTAGACAAACTAGTCAGGAGCTCATGGGAGAGGTCCAAGCTAGAGATGTAAGTGTGGGAGTCTTCATCCTATAACTGAAGCCCTGACAGTGGAAAAGAGAGAAGCTAAGAGCTTGGGAAGTGCGATGAAGAAAGCCAGGCCTGAAGGCCTTGACATTTACTGATTAGGAGAAGGAAGAGGACAAGTTGACAACAGAGGCCAAGAAGAAGTGGTCAGAAAGGGGGCTGTCTGATCTAGACAACTGAGTAATGATGGATAGTGAAAGTGAGAGAAACTCATTCATAAGTTAAATTTCTGGAGTTTCCTAACTGGATTCTTGAAAGGGGAGAGAGAGGATGGAGTCAATAATGACTTCAAATTTTCTGGTTTGAGTAATGTCATCAACTGACATAAGAAATATTGAATGCAAAGCAGGTTTGAGGGTAAGATGATGAGTTCAGTGCTGTGATGTACTAAGAATTATATTCAGCAACATCCTTATCAATATGATCTAAATTCAGTGTTAAATATTTGATTAAGGTCAAAGCCACTACATGATATGTTGAAGAAAATTCGTTTGTGAATTACTGTACTTGTAATGTATGTGCCTAATTTTCATAATCCCTCTACTGATTATGGTTTGAAGCTCATCCTTGATCTTGCCAATTGTGACATTATACTCACTTAAGACAGAAAACCTTGACTTGTGTTCAAAGAACAAAAGGAAGTTTTTCTTTTTTCTTGCAACCATCCTATTATGGTATCATTCAAAGATCTATGACTTCACACACAAAAAAAAGTCCTGCATGGACCAGCCTATGGCAACTTCACAAAAACAGCCGTGATGCTCCTTGATCGGGAGCATCATATTGCCTCCTCTTCCCATCATAAACACACAACTCAGCGACCACAGCGACGTCCAATCT